ACAAGAATCAGGGCTTTCAATTGGTACCAAAATCAATTGATTTTATTATATACAATTTCGAATAAAATTCAAAAAACACCGCGCAAACTTATTTCCAGGTAGTGTATATGAAAGAAGTAATGTCTACATTTGTTGAAAAGGGATTTTTTCTTATTTACGAGTCATATTAAAAGGTATTATAAAGTCTGAAAATTTGCAATAATTTTTGGAAAAAAGAAAAATTTTGAAGAAAATAGAAGAAATTTTGAACGAAATATTTAATGTGGCTATGAAGAATTCTCAAGATCGTAAGAATTCTCTTCCTGCAGAAATATAAACAAACGACTATTGGCTCATATTCGCAATCATAAAGTCAGCTGACTGCTGTATAGTAAAGATTTCTTAGAAAATCAAATTCATTATAAATGCCTATTACGGTAAATGTCTTTGTTTTCGTCGTGCAAAAAATTAATTTAAACTTTTTTATCAATAATGAAATTCTCTCCGCGAAAAAAAAAATTTTTTTCTTCCGTTATTTTTTGAACTCTATATTTTTTCGTGTAATTATTAGAATTACAAACTGGAGTTGCTTGCATTTGTTATATGCAGGAACGAGTGGTACTTGTACATTACGCATACACAATAAACTTTTTATGTTATAAAGTTTTTTTTTTTCAAAAAATAAATCATACGTAAAATAATTTCAAGTAATGCATAATTTTCAAATTCTTCATTTTAATGACGTTTATCATCTTTCTCCACAAAAACGGGAGCCTGTTGGAGGAGCAGCACGGTTTGCTACTTTAGTAAAAGAATTTCGTGCAAAATATGGTCTCGATTCTTCATGTGTATTATTCAGCGGTGACCTTTTTAATCCTTCGGTTGAAAGTAGTATCAGTAAAGGCGAACATATGGCATTGTATCAATCAATTTTTTTTTTAAAAAAAAAATATATATTACGTGTATTTATTTATATAAATAATTGACTTTGAATTAATTTGATTTGTTTTATCTATTTTACGTGATTTTATAATTTCAATCATTATACGAAACCAAGGTCCCAACAGTTAATGATCTCGGTATCGATGTTGCCTGCTTTGGTAATCATGACTTTGATTTCGGATTACCAACTCTTAAAGCATTATCTGGTAAGACCAATTTCCCTTGGTTATTATCAAATGTTCTCGATTCGGAAAGTGGAAATCCAGTTGCAGGGGGAAAAAGATTTCATATCTTGGAGAAAAACGGTCTTAAACTCGGAATTATCGGTTTAGTCGAAAAGTAAGTATAATGAATTTGACCATTTAAAAAATCTGACTTAATAAATTCCTTTTATTTATTTTAGAGAATGGTTGGAGACTATTCCCAGGCATGTTATTATATTTATATATGCGATGAAAGAATTCTTTTATATTCTTAATTGATTAATCATGCAATGTAAAATTAGCCTTCCTCCAACATTGCAATATAAAGATTTTATTGCTGTTGGAAAGGAACTTGCTGCTAAATTACGTGACCCAAATGGGGATTATGCGGTGGATCTTGTTATAGCTCTAACACATTCGCGTCTACCAAATGACATTCTATTGGCGAGAGAAACTCAAGATGAGGTAGATTTGATTCTTGGAGGGTAAAAGATTTTTTTTTTTTTTATATAAATATCGTATATTTAGTTATATAATTTAAATTAATCATCCTTTTATTTGCAACAGTCACGATCATTTTTATTATGTTGGAAAAGGTTGTGAAGTTATAAATGGATGGACGAGAGAAGAAGTAGCGGGAAGTGAGGAAGATAAAGGAGTTCGCGTTGTTAAAAGCGGAACGGATTTTCGAGAATTAAGTATTATAGAATGTGGCGTTGATGAAATCGATAACGAAGAAGGCGGAACTATAAAGATAATTAAAAATTTATCAGGTTAGTGCAAATTTTAACATTGTTTTAAGGAAAGTTTTCATTTGCTTAAATTTCAATCTATTACGAACGTGCTCAGTTACGCGTCAAGAAATTACATCAACAGTTGCCGAAGATCCTCATTTCGCAGAATTAATCACTGCCACTACATCTAATATCACAGAAAAGATGTCCAAGTATAAAATTTTTTTATTTATCAATTTTAATATATCATTTAACGTTATATAATTTTTCTTAAACGCTTGAATTTTGTATGATTAGGCCTGTAGCTTATACATTAACACCATGGGTATTATTACAATTTATTATAGTACGTCGTTACGTATTTAATATTTTTAATTTACGATCCAACTATCAATTTTGTAGGATTGTCGTTCAACAATGCTTCGCACTCAAGAAACTGCATTTGGGAATTTTGTGGCTGATCTGATGTTATACGCGTATCAATCATGTTACCATATAGATTGTTCAATGTTATGTGGAGGTTCTGTACGTTCAGACGCAATTTATCCACCAGGAGAAATTACTTTGGGTGATTTGCTTGAAATATTCCCCTTCGAAGATACAGTAGTTGTTATTAAAATTACGGGACAACAATTGTGGGATGCTTTGGAAAATTCGGTTTCAATGGTACCTAAACAAGAAGGGAGGTTCCCTATAGTAAGTGGTTTGAAAATAGAATATAATCAAAAAGCTGATCCAGGAAGCCGTTTGAGAAATGTTTGGTTAACGGAAAGATGTCAACCTACACCAATGGAGAAAAGTGAAAAACAAAACATCGATAATGATTCGGAAGAAAATGTACCATATACTATCGTAGAAAAGCTAGATCTCCAAAAGACTTACACCGTTTGTACTCGCGGATATATGGCGTCCGGTTATGATGGGTTTACTGCTCTCGCTAAACCTACAACACAATTTCTTGTTGACGACGAGAACGGTATTCTACTCTCTACATTAGTCCGTCGATATTTTCTTGGTCTTTATTACATTAATGCTATGAAATTCAATAATAGCTGTGAAGATAGAGCCAAAGAAGCAGTTTTAAAAGCGGTAGCAACTTGGAAAAAATTGGCAGAAACTAAACGTGAAATAAATGCTCATAAAAACGTTTTAAGCCGTAATATTCAGGAAGCGTTAAATTTTTCTTTAGGTGAAACTATTGAAGTAAACGATGATGATTCATCTGATTCATCCATAAACAATGATCATACTGATTTTGTAAAAGATTGGGTTACTGTTGCTCCAATGATTGAAGATAGAATTGTTACCGTGGATTTTTAATTTAGAATCACATCAAAAATGTTTATTAAATTAAATAATTTTTATTTATTACTTATTTATCATTCTTGAACAATTGTCTAAAATTAATTTACTAAAGTATATTTTATAAACGTCTAACAAATGTCCATTCTCTTCTGGAAAAAAATATATATAATTTTTTGGTTGGTTCTTAAATTACAATATGCTGAGAAATCTCAATGATTTTCAACAACGTATTGACTTTTTGGTTTAATTCGTAAATCCCATCTAATTTATTATTTTTTTTTAATAATAAAATTCTTGAAAAATTCGGGGAACCATCCCGAAGTTGAGTCACGAGAGATTCTGAAACCTGCTTTACTTCATTCCTTATATTTATAAGGATTATATCTAATCCGATTGCTCTCCAAAGTCGAGATGTTGCCATAACAATTTTAAAAACCTCGATTGTTTCAAGATTCTCGAATATATGCGTTAATATTTCAATTGGAAATACATTTTGGTTTTGCTGCGGATCTGTTTGTATTATTTGCTGCACATTCTCAGCTGAATTTTCGATCGTAATAGATTTTTCCAAACGCGTCTTAACTTCCATAGCTTTACATATAAGATTTGTCGCGTTACTTTCAACACTTACACGATAGTCATGCAAATAATTTAACAAGTCTTTGTATCCGTAATACCCAGGACCACGTCCGAAAAAGATGGGATGAACTGCAAGTGTAGTTGGCTTTATATGGGCGATGCATGGCCATATCTCTTCATAAGACATTCTTTGGTAAATATTTGATATTAATGAAGATTTCATTCAAATTGTAGCGATTTGGTTATATATAAAAAAAAAAAAAAATTGTTAAAAGATGATTGATAAATAAAGTGACAAATGAATTCATGTCATTAGGAATCATAAATCGAAATAGATAAAATACCTTAAATTGATTGAAGTAGCAAGTGAAAGGTCTTCATCTACGATGAAATGATATGAAAAGTTTGAAAAATTGCAATTCCTTCGTATTTGCAAAACTTCCCCAACAGGGCCCGGACAAATTATGATGAAAAAAGCATCTTGTCTAAGGAGAAGGCGGTAAAACTAAATTTAAAACGTCGTGTTAAATTAAGAAAATTTAATAAAAACACATGTATTTTGATTGTACATACAGCGATTTCTTCTTGAGGTACAGTTATAATTGTTCTATCAAAAGCGTCGCGAAACGAAGAAGGTGGGTCATCATGCAACCCATGAAGGTTTAATATATACAAAAGTTGAGGGCAAACAGGGCACCAAGTTGCCTTATAATGAATAATAGTCAATTAAAGTTAAAAAAGAGAAGGAAAAAAAATGCTTTGGGTAGAAAACGAGAAAAAAATCGGTTGTATTTATTGAATTGTTCACCTTCAACGTAATAAAAATCAAAACGTAACGTTTAGCAAGTTCATAAACGTTGACGGTGGACCCATCGATGTCCACAACGGTTTTAGGGAAATAAACGGTCCTGTCCATTGCAATGCAAGAAATAAAAATTAAAATAAAAAAAATAATAATAATTTAAAAAGGGATAATGTAGGAATTGGGAAATTTTCAACCTTTTCATTTATAACGATAGTCATGTGACCCTTGTCATACTTGGAAAAAAAAAATTCGCAATTTCATAACAAACTGAGATAAAACTCGCGTGCTCTTACATCTTTATAAAACTGGCTAGTTGGGGCTTTATAATTAAACCCTAATTTTAAAATGATATTTATATGCAAAATGAACCATGAGCGTTCACAATTCATTCCAAAAATAGAAAAGCCAACATTAGGCGTCTCTTGTACCATGAACGTTATGCTCTAGTTTAAAAGTAAATATAATTATAAAATAAGTTAAATAGTTATAATACAAAAATAATCTGATTACCACTTTATACCTGATTATCACTATATAATCTGAATAATAAAATATAATCGGATTATCACTCCATAATACAAACACCACTTCATATCTAATAATCATAATTTATCTTGATATTACCTATCTTTATAACTTGAATAATACAAATCTCTTTTTTGTGTTCTCATTATTTTAATACTTGCTATCTTTTTTTAACATTCTTTAAACCTTTTCTGCTATTCATTGTCTGAAGCGACACTTCCATTCTACTGCAAACCATGCATGTGCTGGTCTGTCCGCACGCGTGATATGGTCAATCAGAAACTGAAGTGTTTTTTTTTAGTGATGAGACGCTTGTTCCCGTTACCTAGTATTTATGTATTATAATGGTATAGTTACTACTTCATAATCTAACTAACACTTCATTTTGTAACCTAACTGTAGTGGGATACCACGCTATAATATAATTATATTATAGCGTGGTATCCCACTTGGACTAGGTTATAGTACCACGCT